AGAGTCATCATTCATTCCCCTCCCGCCCCACCAATTGTTCTTTTTCTTCCCTTCAGAGGGATTTAAACACATCTCTCCCATTTAAAAACAAACCAGGCTGAGGGTAGTGGGTCATGCCTGTAATCCCAGCAGGTGGCTGAGGATTTTGGAGGCTGAGGCAGGTGCATCACTCATGGTCAGGAGTTTGAGACCAGACTGACCACCATGGTGGACACCCTTCTCTACTAAAAATACAAAAATTATCCAGGCATGGTGGCACACGTCTGTAATCCCAGCTACTCTGGAGGCTGAGGCAGGAGAATAGATTGAGCCCGGGAGGTGGAGGTTGCAGTGAGCCAAGATCGTACCACTGCACTCCAGCCTGGGTGACAGAGCGAGACTCTGTTAAAAAAAAAAAAAAGAAAGAAAGAAAGGAATTAAAAACAAACAAACTAGCCTGGGCAACATAGTGAAACCCCACCACTACTAAAAATACAAAAAATCAGCTGAGCATGGTGGTGCACACATGTAGTGCCAGCTACTCAGGAGGCTGAAGTGGGAGAATCGCTTGGGTCCAGAAGTTCAAGACCAGCCTCGGCAACCTGGCAAAATTGTGTCTCTACTAAAATTACAAAAAAAAAAAAAAAAAAAAAAAAAAAAAAAAAGCCAGGTATGGGGGCATACACATGGAGTCCCAGCTATTGAGGAGGCTAAGGTGGGAGGATCACGAGCTTCGGAGGTCAAGGCTACAGTGAGCCGAGATGCACCACTGCACTCCAGTCTGGGCGACAGGCCTGATACCCTGAGAAGTTAAAAATTAAATAAAACAAAACTGGACTGGGCGCTGTGGCTCATTCCTGTAATCCCAGCACTTTGGGAGGCCGAGGCCTGCAGATCATGAGGTCAGGAAATCAAGACCATCCTGGCTGACACGATGAAACCCCATCTCTACTAAAATTACAAAAAATCAGTCGGGTGCGGTGGCACATACCTGTAATCCCAGCTACTCGGGAGGCTGAGGCAGCAGAATCACTTGAACCCGGGAGGCAAAGGTTGCAGTGAGCCACTGCACTCCAGCTGGGCGACAAAGTGAGACTCCGAATCAAAAAAAAAAAAAAAAATTCCTCTAGCTCATCTTTCCTCACGGCCTCCACCTTTCTTTGCACCTTTCCGGCCTTTCTGCTTCCACACTGGCCATAGTCTTTATTTATTTAATTTATTTTAAATTTTAGCCCAGACTAAGTCTTGGAATCTTTAAGAAAAGCTGGAGGACCATTGACCTAAACTGCACTCAGCTTCTCCGGTGTTTTCCATCTCAGGAAAGGGAACCACCGGGTTGTGCAAGGTCATCCTGATTTGCCCGTGACTCGTCTGTGTCTCCTCTGCCTATCCAATTGCCAAGTCTTTAGCATCTACCTCATAAATTTCTCCAGAATCTGGCCACATCTCCAAAGCAGCCCTGTCAATTGAAACAATGTTTTTTAAAAATATTTTTTCACCTTTTAATTTTTAAAAATTATTTATAGAGATGGAGGTCTCCCTATGTTGCTCAAGCTGGTCTTGAACTCCTGACCTCAAGCAATTCTCCTACCTCAGCCTCCCGAAGTGCTGTGATTACAGGCATGAGCCACCTCACCTGGCCTAATTATTACTATTTAAAAATGTTTTTTTTGAGACAGAGTTTCACTCTGTCACCCAGGCTGGAGTGCAGTGGTATGATCTCAGCTCATGCAACCTCCGCCTCCCAGATTCAAGTGATTCTCCTGCCTCAGCCTCCCGAGTAGCTGGGATTACAATTGTGCACCACCATGCCTGGCTAATTTTCTATTTTTAGTAGAGACGGAGTTTCTCCACGTTGGCCAGGCTGGTCTCGATCTCTTGACCTTGTAATCTGCCCACCTTGGCCTCCCAAAGTGCTGGGATTACAGGCGTGATCTGTGCTTGGGCTATTATTTTAAAAATAGAGATGGGGTCTCGCCAGCAGTGACCAAAAACAAGACAGTGGACATGATGGATTTCTTTCACAAGAAGAGAGAGCCTAGGAATTAATGGAGTTTTCTAACTGGAAGGTTTCTGTGGTTACTGTATTTTCCCACACGTAATTATAATCTGGAACAAAGGCTGAGAAATTTGGGAGGATCCTGACCACGAAGGGCTGACCATCCAGTCACCTGCTTAGTTGTGTGCTGAGTTTAAAAGGCCTCTAAAATGTAGACTGATTTGCTCTCCAACTCACAGTTCTATTTTCAGAAGGGGTGAGAAGTTGGGGAGACCCAAAATGAATGATGGCAGAACTGGATTGGTTTATAATCCCTCCCCATAAACAGACAGACAGACAAAACCACTCACTTGGAAAACTCAAAATAGATGCTTGCTTGTAAAGTTTATTGACAACTGTTTGGTCCCAACACACAAAACAGCACTTGAACCACAACAAAAATGTTCAAACAAAATAGACAATTAAGAAAAACATCTCTTTCCCCCAAACCCAATCCAAAACAAACAGTGCGAGATGGGAAAGGGGGTTTTGGTGATAACTTTTGTCTTTTTTTTTAAACAGATAAATCTAATCTGGTACATTTTTCCACCCAGAAATAAAGAATTACATTGTCTTAATGTTCAAACATCATTTTACCACATCATTTAATTAAGCCTCTGGATAAAAAAATAGATAGCAATTGGACTGGCCATTGTAGAGTACATTATGAATATAACGTGCTTCTGACGTCTTCTCTCTCATTTTCAGACAGCAATTGTTAAAGAGTCACACACATGTCCCAGACTAAGCAGCAACTCCAGTGAGTAGTACTAAGACACACTCACGGGACGGCACAGAACTTGTTTCTTCTTTTGTCGGTTGCTCAAAGAACCTGTTCTTTGAGTCTGTTCCAGGTGACTTGTAATGATACCTTTTATGGTTTTAAAGTCCACCACTCTTTACATGCTAGCAAAACTCAAGTCCAAGCGTGCAAACTCAGCCTTATGAAATCTCAGAATAAGGCAACATGTTCTCAACACCAACTTTATTACATTGTTTAAAAGCTCCTTTAAAAAAATTGCACATGTGCATTTCACTTCCTGTAACACTATGTCTGTAGCGGAAATGCCTTCAGAAGGATTCTGAGAGTGCCATGATACTTAGGGGGTTTTCCATGTTGCTCTGTCTTGACTCGGCCCATGTGTTAACAACTGGGAATCACTGGCTTCATTTAAAAGATTTGGGGAAGAAAAAAACTGACTTGTAAAAATCTCTCTGTAGCCCTTATTTTGTCGCATTTTATCAAAATGCTGGCTATGAAATTAGAGTCCATTTTCTGGCTTTCTAGAAGTTACAAAACAGAAACATTTCCCCAAAAGAAACCATCTAACTAGTAGACCTTATGCCAACAGGTTCTTTCTGCTCTATGAAGGCATCCGCCTTTTTTTTGCCCGACAGATACAATCCATTGTAAATGTCAGGTTTCTCTAGGGGGCTGAGAGGCCACCCATCAGCGGACAGCTCAGGCACCTGGAGAGGGAGGCTGTTCCACATCAGATGCCACAAAACACCCAGACATGCTTCCAACAGCGAGAAGTAACGAGAGTAAAATCAGACACGATTAAAAGATGCTGAGCTGACAAACACACACACACAGCTTCCCAGCTACCGAAACCAGCTTTAAAATTACAATAACATGGTTCAGTGGATCAATCTTGGCCTTCCCATGTGTAGGTAGAATTCCTGTCTCTTCCCAGTGGAAATCGTATTGACCCTGCTGCTGCTGCTGAAGCACCTCCCCACTCAGCTCTGATTTGTAATTTATGCACTTCATGCATATTTTAGAAAATCAGATTCTTTCCAATGCTGCCTCTCGACACACAAGAATGTGTGTTGTCATCCGAATGCTGACTCCGTGGTCTCGATCCATGACATCGAGACCATCTCCTTTTCCTTAACCTACCTCGTATCAAATTGGAACACCGAAGGGAAGCTTAAAACATCCTCAACTTTCTAGAAAGCTCCTAAATGGAACCCCAAAGTAGAAACGTTTAAAAAAATTTGTGATGAAGCCACATTTGTCAACTACAGACATAGTTTAAATAAAAAACAAGGCACACTTACAAGTCACATGGAAGCCAGGAACCTTTCACAATCCGACCTGAAAATATACCCTCAACCCCTTGCCTACCCTTCTCCTTCAGTGTGTGAACACGCAGGCTTGCGGGACATGCCACGCACTGCGTTAATACTTTCGGAAACATCAGTAAGCAAGGCCGAGAGACTATATATGCTACATGTAGGATGACACCACAGACGTGGCTGAGCGGAAGCAAAACCGCTTCCTCCTAGTTGAGTTCTTAGTGCTTGCTTCTTTCAGAACACCATCATATTTCATAGAGTTACGAAAAATTTGGTAAAATATATTAAGGATTCTTTAACAAATGCCACAAGTTCTTCAAATAATTGAAAAAAGAAAGAAATAGAAGAAAGAAAAGAAAGATTTCAGCTCAAAGCTGTGTTCAAGGTAAAAGAAAAAAATGTTACAGAATACATCTAAGAAGGAGGAAATGGTTTCCACGGGGTTTTCAGGACAACGGAAAAGGATGTATTTTTGAAACCCACTTTTGTGTGCAGAATCAGACAGTGTTTTCCCATTCTAATTCTATATTCAAAATGGGAGTTAAAGCTGGGTTATAGGTGCTAAGGAAAAGTTGGCTGCCAATTTTACTCTATTTTTGGGTTGCTTTTTGGCCGGGCTTTCTGCGGAGTCCTTGCTGAGCAGTGACTCTGGGGTTTCGGAGGGGCAGGGAGCCATGGGGACAGCTGCTGAGCCGCAAGATGAGCTGGAGTCAGAGGTCAGAGTTCTGCTCTTTACTGGTATTGGAATCTCAATTTTTCCTTCTTGGTTTAACATCGTAATTTCTGTAAACACAGAAAAGCAAACAGACTTGAGTTCCAGGATCTGTAAGAAACATGGAGTGTGGGTTTTCTGCTTCTTGCTCATATTTTCTCAAAAGATATTAAAAAAAAAATAACCCTTGTGCTCGCTTCGGCAGCACACGTACTAAAACTGGAACGATACAGAGATGAGTATGGCCCCTGTGCAAGGAAGACACGCACATTTGTGAAGCGTTCCATATTTAAAAAAATAAAAATAAAAAAACTCTCTAAATGCTACATCTATGCCACAGCTTACATATGAGTTGTTTGGCCAGTGTAAGCCGTACAGAAATCAAATACCTATAAACTGCATCCCACCTCTCCCGATGGATTACAAACTTGTTGAGATCTCTATTTTGAGCTATAAATTAATGAGCAAAGTTTAAAGGTTTTTTTCCCCCCATTTTGGATTCTCTGCCCATTGATTCTCTCTGCCAGATATTAAGGACCCATAAACTATCCAAGACTTAAAGACTTCCTTAGGAGGTGGGTGGGTAGCTGGGGGTTGGGGGGTGGGGTCAGAGCATCTCGGTGTCAGGCAGCTCCTGGCCTACTCCATTTACAGAGGACCTACACTTCCATGGGTCTATTACCAGAGATAAGAGTCAAAGTTACCCTCAGAACCCAGAAAATGGAGTGCAGCTGGCTCTCCTGCAGTGCTTCTATGTTGCCATTTCTGTGGCTGAGTCACACGTAATTCGCCTGCTGCACAGAAAGGGCCATGCTGCTTGAAACACACGTATCGTTATGCCTTAGACTCCCACTGCGCATGGCATGGGCTCCTGCTCCCAAAGGCCCATGGAAAGTGAGACTGGCAGAGGGGACAGCAGAGCCAGCATCCGCCCAGGCTGGCCCTCACGGGGAGAGCCGCTCACAAACTACCCACATTATTTCAATTAGTTTTCTCTCATCAGGTGCATGCAGTTGAACTCACCCAGACTAAAGGCACAAAGGCCACAACCCCAAGAAAGAGCTAATATCCATCTGCCACCAACCCTAGCGAGGCACTGCAAAGGCGTGTGGTGTTCGTCTACACCTGCTTGCACAGGCTGCTTCTATCTGCTGCCAGTTACACGCCCCATCTCCTGTTTTCCAGGTCAACAGCCTCAGTTCTTTCACTGGGCAACAGGGCTGCACATTGCCAAGGACAACAACCCAGGCGGTAAAAACCAAGTCAGGAGTCCGCAGGTTGTTCCTGGTGACCCAGAAAGCAGCATCGGCAATGGGGAGAAGCCGGGTTCCCATGGACGAAGAGCAGGGAAGGACCTGCATGGGGCAGGTGGGCCGTCCTTTCCAGGGCCAGGCAACACCGCAGGACAAGAGGGCCTGAGTTCCAATCCCAGCTCTCGCCTTGTTAGCCCAGCAGCCCTGGGCCACTGCCTCTCTAGTGATGCCGCCAGCTGCGCCTCAGTCACACAGCCTGTGGAACAAAGCGGTCGCCCCACACAGAGCCCTGGTGAGAGCTGAATGTGATGGTGTCTGTCAGCCCAGAGCACAGGGTTGGTGCCAATGCCTGCACTAGGCTGGGACTGTGTGCTCGGCTTCCTATCCGTTCTCAGATCACTGGGCAGAGTCCAGGAGCTCCAGTCACAGATGGCTCCCTCCGTTCACCCCTTTATAAAGCCCTTAGGCCCTCTGGGTCCCCACCACAGGTGACTTGTGTATCTGGTGGCAGGTGTGCCTCAGAGTGGCCAAACCCTCACAAAGTCTGGGAGAGCAGAGGCCCAGGAGGACCCTCACCCTCCTCTGTGGGCCTGTCCACAGCCCTGCACCACCAGCCCCCCAGATCTGCCGACTGGCCCTTGCCTGATGCTTGCCAGGCAACCTTGGGCTGTGAATCCAATTCTGCAGAAACTCCAGTGGGGAAAGAAGGTCGAATACTCAGCACAGGTGTTTTCCACCTGAAAAGGGGTGGTCTCCTCCCACCTCCATCAAGCATTTACTGTATCGGTGTCACATCGTGGCTTCAGGTTTTAAACCCCAAAGAAAACCACCCCCCAACAACAGGGGTCACCTACCCGAAGGCTCTTGAGGGTGCTCCTCAAACTGAATGAGATCAGCAGACTGGAGGACGACAGGGTCTGGTCTCAGCTGAGGGGACGGCACGCACGAGGGCACGGGCGCACACAGGAGGTCGGCGGGGGGGTCCTCAGTCAGGCGGAGAAGCTCCTGCTCTGTGTGACTGGGCCCTGGGCAGAGGAGGCGGCCGTGACGCTGCAGGACCTCTACGCCCACCCAACCACGCTCGCCGGACTCACACCGCAGGTTTTCCTTTTAAGCCAGGCGTCCCCAAACTTTGTACACAGGGGGCCAGTTCCCTGCCCCTCAGACCGTCGGAGGGCCGCCACATACTGTGCTCCTCTCACTGACCACCGATGAGAGAGGTGCCCCTTCCCGAAGTGCGGCGGGGGCCAGATCAATGGCCTCGGGGGGGGGGCCGCAGTTTGGGGACGCCTGTTCTAAGCCTTAAAGACTGAGAGTCAAGAAATACTTAAGGTATTTAAAAAATGAAAACCAAACCAAAAAAAAAAAAAAAAACAACCCCAGAAGATCCTGCTAATGGAATGCCTTATAAGCCAGTTGTCCTGAAGACCTGTGTTCTCAGGAAAAGGCCCGAGCAGGGAAAAGGGTCCTGCAATCAGCTTCCAGAGAGTGGGGGACAACCCAAGATGGGGTGTACATAGCTATCAGCATGTGGAAGCTCAGAATCCAAAGCCCTGGGCCCCAGTTCCCCGGCTTCCTAGCTGCCAGCTCTGGGTAAGCTATAATATAGAACCGCCCGAGATTTCTGTGCCTCCGCTGCAGCGCACAGGTGAGTGCTGCTGAAGGCTGTGGGCCAGCTTAGGCAGATGATTCCCAGTGGGGTGCCTCATAAAATATCAAATGCTGTGTAACTCAGTTATCCTAAGGGCACAGGGCACAGGGCACAGTAACGCACTATCTATTCTCACCTATCACAATGAATTCAAAAGTCCTTCAGAAAAGTGAGAACTGCTTTAACATGCATGAGAGTTGGCCTCTCCTACAGAGGTGGATCAACCTGAAATCTATGTGACTCGGTGTAATTCTGGGTAATATTAATCTATTAGTCCAGGCGTCCCCAAACTACGGCCCACAGGCCGCATGCGGCCCCCCGCCGCACTTCAGGAAGGGGCACCTCTTTCATTGGTGGTCAGTGAGAGGAGCACAGTATGTGGCGGCCCTCCAACGGTCTGAGGGACAGTGAACTGGCCCCCTATGTAAAAAGTTTGGGGACGCCTGTATTAGTCTATCAAGTTCTGCCTGGGGCTACCCTGCAACAAAGATGCATTGCCCAGGCTGAGTCAGGCTCCCTGAGCCCTCTTCTGGACCAGGCTTGGCATTGGCCTTCTGTGTCTGCTCTGAACTTGCCAGGTCCAGTCTTAGCTCAAGTCAGTTGAGTGAGAATCCCCTCACCCTTGAGATCTCATCACCCTTCACATCTGACCCAATTCCTTAGCCCCAAATACCGATGTCTAGATCATTGGCCTGCCTGCCTGTAGCAGGAATCCTCTTAGTAATTTTCCACCCGCTGAGCCCTCACTCTGCTCCTAGGCTATGTACTGGGAGTTGCCTCTCTCACCCGTGTTCCAAGAGTCATGAATTTCCATTATAACAAGTGTCAGAGTAATTTTGTTCTTCAACACCTGAAGTGGGGTAAGATGATCATTATGGGGGTGCCAACATCCTTCAGGGACTTTAGCCGGTTGACCATGCAGTGCTAACAAACATGGGTCAATTTTTCTTCGTTACTAACTTAATACCGAAACTGCTTTTAAAAATGTATGACTATTTAACTTCAGCGAATGAGATGACTTTCTGGAGTCCTCTCACTTGCTCTCCCCGACCCCAAGCCATTTCTCCTAGAATTTCACAAGCTCTGCTGTCTCTGCTCTTCCTCTCTTACCACTGCCGCCGGCACCAAGCTTGCGTTCCGAGGCTGTGTGCGGTTCGGACACCTCCAGGATGCGGGAGCCCTCTGAGGGCTGGTTTTCATGACTGGCAGGGGAGAGACTGAGTGAATTCAAACGACCTAGAGGACAAACAGCACCCGTCAGAGAGAAATGTCAGTGAGAGAACCGTGATTTTTTAAGTGGGGAGGGGATGGGTGCTTACTTACTTTTCATGTCATTTTTTAACACTACAATTCTCTTATGACCATGTCCTTTTATCCAGACCACCTGCACACAAGACATACTACTGGTTAAGCAGTGGAAAAGGAGGGACAGAAGCCCTAACATTCAGGAAGAGTGTGACCTATGGCACCTGCCTGAGGCTAGAATTTAGGAACCGAGTTACTGCCGAGAAGCATGTTTCTCTACTCTCCCCTTAGCTTTTTTTTTTTTTTGAGACAGAGTTTCGCTCTTGTTACCCAGGCTGGAGTGCAATGGCGCGATCTCGGCTCACCGCAACCTCCGCCTCCTGGGCTCAGGCAATTCTCCTGCCTCAGCCTCCTGAGTAGCTGGGATTACAGGCACGCGCCACCATGCCCAGCTAGTTTTTTGTATTTTTAGTAGAGATGGGGTTTCACCATGTTGACCGGGATGGTCTCGATCTCTTGACCTCGTGATCCACCCGCCTCGGCCTCCCAAAGTGCTGGGATGACAGGCTTGAGCCACCGCGCCCGGCTCCCCTTAGCTTTTAAAGCAACAGAAGAAGCTGACAGAAACATGCCCCTATAAAAAGCATAGTAGTTCAAAAATCCTGAGACACAGCTTCAGAAATAGTCTTTATAATTCTTAAAAAGACTCTTCCAAACACAAGCTTTGGCATATAAATTAAAGTAGTTCTCACATGAGAGCTCTTGCCGGTTTTTTTTTGCAGAAACTAAACACAACCTAAAAGAATTAAGAGCAATCTCTCAGACCCTTAAACTAAGTCATTATCAGAATCTGCAAGTCCTCTCCCTGATGGTGCCACTCTCAATCTCAGTCAAGGAGAGGTGTGGTGGTGGAGCTGGGCTCTCGGGCCCCCCACATGGACACGCCGTGGCCAGGTCCCTGAGCTCAGCTCCCAGGTGAACATCGCCTACGGCCTTCCTACCTCCTCTCTTCTACTGTTTTCACTCCGGCTCAATCCCTCCATCTAACACTGACCCAGACCTCGGCAGTGGCCAGGATCCTAGCCCATTCCCTGCTTCCATGCTTGGTTCTCTGGGCTCTACCATAGACAGCAGCCACGGGGGT